TTTTTGTTTGTTTGTTTTGTTTTGTTTTTATTTTTTGCATCCTACAGGCTCTGACATGTTAAATAAATTTGAAACGTAGTTTTTGAAAAAAAATCCATAAAACTTGAAAAAGTTAATGAGATTGCTCTATAAGTCTGTATACCTGCCAAATGAGGGAACATCTGTGTAGATTACAGATAATTTATACAACTTGAAATGTATGAAGTCCATTTTTTTTTTGGTGAGGGGGTAAATCAGTGTTTTTTACTATACAAGTTAGTTAATGACATTTAAAACATCACTTGCATAATAGTGTTGCAGGACAACATAATATCAATTTCTAAGGATGTAGAACATTTTCTGCATTACAAATATGTTTAGGAAAAATAATGGGTAAATCAGTGCCACAACAAAACAATGTATGGCCCTTTAACCAGTAAGCACAGCCAGATCCTTCCTTGTAATTATCCTACAAGCCTGGCACATTTTTTTTTTGCTTTGGATGTTTCTGTCACTTTTTTATGCCAGACACATGTAAGTCTAGTCAAGCTGGAAGGGAAACATGAGTGCACAACTCTTTTCAGGTCTCCAGAGATGCTGTACGGCGTTCAGGTCCACACACACTGGCTGTGTCYCTTCAGAACTTCTATTGTTTTTCTGAAGCCACTCCTGTGTTTACACGTCGTTGGAGCCTCTCTGTTTCTGCTGCAGAGATTCTTGCCATGCTCAGAATTTGGCCAAATGGACAGCCCAGGGAAGAGAACCCAACTTTTTTGTTTTCCTTTTTCTTTTTTTTCTAGCACATCTTCATGCGTCTGTGCCCCCACCTCATACAACAGCTTTTGCTTTTGTCCCACTTTCTCTCATTTGGYAAATGAAAAGCAGTGTGTTGCTCAAAATACAAGCAAGCTGAGCAAATACTCTGCAAAAAGAAGTTTTTAATCAAAAACAATTTAACAGAAACTAGTTAGTAACTGACAGACTGCTAAAACATGTTTTAAAATAGATAAAATACATTTAGTTAATGCAGTACTTCATTAAATATAATAAAAAGTGTTGTTTTATTCAAACAAAACAATAATCCTCACTTTGATACATCACTGCCTAAGGACTTTATTTCATCTATTTTACCATGAACACTATCAAAGACTCAGCACATTTCAGACAAAAATTGATTTAACACTTGAGGTTTTTACTGCTCTGAGCAATGTGTACTACATTGAGATATGCTTGAAATACTGAAGATGTTAAAACAGCTGAAAACAAAGCTTTATGAATATTTTTGTTGTCTCTGTGAGAAGTGCTTTGGCTCTAATCCTTTTTTTCCCCCACATTTGTTTCAGGGCAGAAATTAAACGACAGAAGCAGCGATCACAAGAACTAGAGATCAAACTGGAAGCAGACCACAATACAATATATGAGGTTCGAGTGGCACACACAGGCTCACACAAGTACTAAATTGTATTTATCAGAACATGGAACTGTGACCGATACTCAAATGACCCCATTATTACACACATAGACGTAAAATAATTTCCCCCCACATTTGTTTCAGGGCAGAAATTAA